TTTAGGGTGGAAGCACCAACAGTATTTCCTCTGGAGAGAGAGTTCTAAAATCTGACTTTCTTACCTGCTTTCTTGACTAAATCTTTCTCTCAGTCTAATAGCTGCTACTTTGAGCCTATCTGAAACAATAAGTGCTATGTATCTGAAACAACCTGTGTCATCTCATCTTTTCCTAAAGGTGAGTCACTTTGTTCAAATTCTACTAGGGCTTACTTGGTCAAAGACTTTTAAAATCACATCTCTGTTTGGAATCTAGAAGTAGTGTTTTCCAACCCTGAAAAGCCTCCAAATGCTGGACACTCTCTAATCCACTTCATTTCTGTTTGTAGTGTTGGGGCTCAAAGAATGATACCCCAAAGTATGGTGCTTTGGCGTGCTGAGTTCTTTTGAATTAAAGGCATTGGAAAGACTTAGAAGCTACTTCAGAACCAAGGAGTTTCTAACCTTTTCCCACATCCCCCAAGCACAGGGTGTGGCTCTCTCTGGAAGTTCCCTTATCTGACTGAGCAAACTTTTTTCAAAAGAAATGCAATTGTCTTAAAATCCTCTCCCTAGGAATTTCATCAAATAACCAGGAAAGACTAACTATCAGAGAAAAGACTAAAAGGCTTCACCACGTCTAGACAGATTTTTTTTTTGTCTGTTTGTCTGAGGGAGAGATTACCTGGGAGACTTGATGTGCATAATAAGATAAGCTTTGCTCACAGCAAAGTTCCACCCCTTACCTTCCTGCAATTTGTCACCACTGCCTCCACAGCTCAGAGGAATTTTGTCCCAGACCATTGTATGTTTGAGACATTTGTTTCTCCTGAAAATCATTTACTACCCCTTAAATTTCCTGTATCCTCCATTTCCCACTCCCCTATGAGGAGGACATCTGGGCCTCAACCATCTGGCCCTTCCTTGAATTTTATATTTTGTATGGCTCCCATTAACACTTGCACATTAATAAATTTGTGTGACTTTTCTCCTGTTAATCTGTCTATTGTTTGTTATTTCAGCAGACTCAAACCTTCAGATGGGAAAAATTTCCTTTGTCCCTGTGTTAGGTAGATAGTGAGAGATTCTGGGTCTCTAGGGACAAAAGTCGGTGCTGTTGTCCCCATCTTGGTCCTGCCCCACCTTAATCTCCGGAGCAGCTGTCATTCCTGGGGAGGAGGGAATACCCTATGAATGTGCCAATCTTAACTTAGTGTGCCAGCTGGAAACGAATGTAGAGGACTTCTAGCCCATGGACCAAGCAGCATAGGTCCCATAGAGTCTGGAAATTGAACTAGAACAACCTATATGCATAGTTAAGGCTCAGGTCATGTGATTCCCAACTGTTCAGTCAAAGTGGTTCCATGGTGACCTCTGAATGACTAGGGAGGTTCCTATCTGGACACCATAAAATAAGACGCAGACCACAACCAGGTGTTTTTTTGCACCCTTCCTTTGGCTCTCCCTTTGCTGTGACAGTGAGTTCGGTAGTCATCTGTGGCATATATATCATGCTCTGTAAACCTGTATCTTGCTCTTGCCCTGTAATCCTATCCTTCTCTCCTCAATAAACCTCATTTTTGTGCTTGCCTAACTTTGGTGTGTCTGGTCATACTTTGGCCATGAACACTTCAAGAACCGACATTTCAGACTGCAACTTGACACCTACGGTAAACTGGTTAATTTTTTTTTTTTTTACATTTTATTTTTCATTTTTAATTTAATAGAATAAAATGGAAATAATAGTCTGTTCTCTTGACATAGGCTTGAAGAATAGAATCACATAGAAACCGCCAATAAAATAAAAGCCATACCCTGGGGAGGAAAAAACCAACATGCATTAATGACAGGTTTGCTTGCTGGAGGAAAAAATATTGTTTATTTTTGTGTGACTTCTTTCTCTTTTTTTATTATTTCAAAATATTATGAGGGTGCAAATGTTTTTGGTTACATGGATCACTTTTGTTACGCTGAGTCAGGTTTTAAGTGTGCCCATCGTCCAGATAGTGTTCACTGTACCCATTAGGTTTTTGCCCATCCTCTCCTGCCCCCTCCCCTCTGCTCGATTTCCACTGAGTTTTACTTCCCTCTGTGCACATGTGTGCTCAATGGTTAGTTCCAATTTAAAAGTGAGTTCATGTGGTGTTTGTTGTTCCATTCTTGAGATACTTCACTAAGGATAATGGTCTCCAGTTCCATCCAAATTGTTGCAAAGGCCTTAACCATCCTTCTTCATGGCTGAGTAGTATTCCATAGTATACATATACCACATTTTGTTAACCCACTCATGAATTGATGGGCGCTTAGGTTGATTCTACATCTTTGCAATAGTAAATTGTGCTGCAATAAACATTTGAATACAGGTATCTTTTTTTATAAAATAACTTCTTTTCCTTTGGGTAGATACTGTTACAGCAGAGATAACTGCGAACACACCGAGAGACACACACAGTGATATAGCAAAACAGGTTTTACCCCAGGCCAGCCAGCAAGGCCCAGAGGGGAATTTGCTCTCCCCAAATTCTGAGCACCAGACGAAGAGTGTAGCAGTCTTTTATACACTCTGCTTAAGGAGGAGGGGCACGGTTACAACAGGGTTAACTTTAGTGAGGCAGAGTCCTAAGCTACTTCACGGCCTGGT